CTTTATTTGAGAGCTAACGAGAAAACAACTAATCAAATCAATAAAAGATGATTTCTAGTGATAGAAATCGGCTTCTTCCCTTGGTTCGTTGTCAAAAAGATTTTGATTAATTAGAAATCACCTTCGTTAAATATTATTTCATGGTGAAAGACTCTCTCTCTCTCTCTCTTGTTTTCATGTTCTTTCATATTTATTTTTTTATTTCAAATGAATATTTTAAATAATAATCACATTGTTTTATATATTATTATTATTATTATTATTATTATGATTTATTCTCAATAAATATCAAGTTAGGCGAAAAATATCCTTCTTACCCATATGAATACTATCACTATTTATTAGTTTTATTTTACTTCAGTAAACATATCTATAGATAGACTGATTATCTGTTTGATCTTAAACAATCGCACTTATACTCAATCAAATAAATTATAATCACTAACTTCTTTAGAATTAATTCTCTAAATAGTATAAATGAATATATTAAATAAAGATAATAAATGAAATGCGTGTTATGACCGAAGTGTTCCCCTTCGATCATAAGACGGAACGAACGAATAATACACACTTCTTTCTAGTATAGTGATAGTATAGCTGCCCGGAAAGTAGAAGACGTTGGTTCGATTCTATCGGAGGAAGATTATCCTTTTGTTCGGTTCTGTTATCATACCATCACGTTGCTGTCTCGCTGATAACTGAGCGTAAAACAAAGAAAGAGAAATAAAGACATAACAATGCGCATCTGTCTGTACTCATACAATACTTAACTAGTAAATTAAATTAGAAAAAAAAGACTTTTCTTATGTGAATTTTTTACGGTGTAAATTTAAATAACAAAAAAAATCAGAATCATTGCTAAGATTTTCTACTAGTAATGAATTACATTAATTAATCATAGTGATGTAAAAACAGTGAAGATATGTAAAAAGATTGTAAATGATAATGTAGATGTTAATCAATTACCAGATTAAGTTTGTATTTATTGATATTTTTCACTTGATGAATATAATCTTATATTTTTTTAAACAAATTTTGTAACTATTCGAACATGAATACTACATCTTTCTTTAGTCATATATTCGTCTTCAAAGAACATATGCAAAGTATTGATTGATCAAAGCAGAGATTTTATCTCATTGAAAGGACAGTTATGATTTTACTTTTTTTTTCTATTAAACAATTCAACTATTGAAATATGTTTATGTAAATAACAGAACAAAAATTTAAATCAATGCAATTAGAATTGAACCACATATTGTTTCCAATTTTTTCGAATATGTTTATTTATTTGATTGATTAATTTGATATAGAGATAATGTAAAAGCATCTGTGTTAAATTTATTTGTATATTGAAGTTTTAATGAAGCAATCACTTCGTATGCATTACATAAATGATTCATAAGCATATCAATTTACATTTGGTCGTATGGATTGAGTGTGGATATGGATCTTCTCTTCACTCATATTTACACCTTCAGTTGCATGCCTATATGAAGATGAAACCATGTGAAACTTATTCTCGTTTTCAACACACTCAAACTACTGATTTTGAGGAATTAAAGTACGAAATGTTATCTTTATTGTAAAAATCTGATCAGAATCGAGTTTGTCAAAAGGTAAAACGATTTAACATTAAGTGAAAAATTTATAAGTCATAGGAATATGATCAAGTATCTTTACACGATCAAGTATTTATTGTTCATTATAGATACTGTCAACATTTATTAACTAATGATGAGAAGCAGAAACTTCAATTTTGAGTTTAAGTTATGGTTAAATGAGACTTAGTTTTTAAAATGGAATCAAATTTTGAGCTTTTTTTTAATAAAACATATTCCATTAGACTGTTTCTATCTATATTTGAATACTTTTAAAGTGTGATAAAACGTTTCTAAGTTGTTATTGATTACGTTCGTAATCTATACTGACTAATCATCAATATCACATCGTATGTTTTCTTTATTCGACAAGAAAATTTTATCCGCCGTTGTTGAATTTCAATATCATTCCGAGTCAGATATATAAAATAATATGGCATCATCAGAACATTAGTTCTTTTTATTTATAATAAGAGTAATCATCGAATATGAAACTTTATTTGTTCTGTTGAAAACTCATTACTTGATAAGCTATCGTAAGGCTGTATTTTACATAATGTAATCCATTTGAGAAAGCGCTACTGATAGAAGGAACAAGGCATGTTAAGTTGAAATTTTCAGGAGATACACATCATTATATAGTGTACCCATAGTAAAAATTTTAGACCTATATCATAATTCTTATCATGAGTTATGAAGCACTAAATTTTCCTGAAATGTGAAGTTTTTCTCGGATTTCCATTTTTCTCATATTAAATGAGTCATACAAAAATAAGGTTTCAATATTTTGAGCTTAAATTTATATGATGACTATAACTTATAAAGTTATATATGCATAGAAAATTACAGCTCAATTAATCTCGTCGTTCTTGAGATATGGTCCTGTCAAGATTCCGTATTGAGCGAAGTGCTGATTTTTAGTGCTTTTCATAAAAACACTAAAAAAATCAACAATTCAATGTTTTTGAAAAACGGCTTTCATCAAAGTTCATAAAACTCTTCCCTCTACAACAATATTCTAAATTGAGCGAAATTGAAAGATATCGATTAAGCAGATTCGTTTATGACTTCTATTGACTTGCTTTTAAGAAGAAGAATTTTTTTTTTATTTAGTTAAATAATAATCATAAATTATTTCATATGTATTCAATTGAATCAATTATTATTCAACAATTATACAAATAGGTTGATCTTTTTATTTATTCTATCCGAATGAAATTAATCGATTTTTTTGTTTTAGATTTTTTTATATAACTGATGTTCAAACTCTTCGTGGATTACTTGTACAAAGTGATTGTCGTAATTGAAGTAAAGCTCTTCAAATACGGTATATTTTATTTGAAATAATATAAAAATCAAAGAAAGATTTTGTTTCTTTTTTTTTTTTTTTTTTTTTCTTAGTTATAATATAAAACATTTGACAGAATGATTATATGATTAAAATTAACAAGATAGTGATGCTACTGATTGCATTTTTTTTTTGATTAACACAAGTTGTTTAATTATTTCTTTGTAAAAAAAAAAGATGAAGCAAACATTTGGAATATTTACACTAAACTTATAATTGTTCAAGTAAAGATCATTTTTTCTAATCTATTATATCAAAACACGAAAATTTTACTCACTCATTCACATAACTAAAACAAAACAGTAATTTAGATAAATCAATATTATCTTATTTTATTCTTTATTCTTAAACAATATGAATTTATATATATATATCTTAGAACTCAGTTTTGGTGATATAAATATTTGCAGTCTTTAAGGGAAATATTCTGAATATAAAATTGAAATAGCTGTTCTTCTTACTGCCAAAGATCGCTTAACAACAACAAAAGTTGTAAAAAGTTGATCTCGTTGAAATAATATGAAAGAATAACTAACTATATTTATCCACGACGTACAAATGACAACATATTTTATTTCGAAATAAATCTAATATTGTTGCCTAATTGTGAATCTTTTATAATGTTATTAAATAATTACTGAAATAATTAAATCGAATAAAATATCGTAGTTTCCAATATCGAAAGAAACAAATGTTTTTTAAATGAAGATATACTGATTTGAACTTCTGGAATTCAGTAAAGTTAAGATCTTACTTGAGACAACACGAGAAAATATCAAATTGAACTTTATCTGTTAATACCGGTACATTACTTTAAACTTCTTATATTTATTTCCTAAGTCAAATAAAAGAGTCAACATATAATCAACTTTAATTCTCTTGTTTATTGAAAAATAATTATTAATTCTATAGAAGAAACAAAAAAATAACCTAAAGAATTCGATCTCTAGTACCACAAATACATATCACGATTTACAAGTTTAATCGACTAATCATCAAGTAGATTTTCTTTTTCAATCATTACAGTTAATTGCTTTAAATATATTACAGATATTTCAAAAACACATAAAAAAAACAAATAATGTGTCTTAGAGTGTCTGTTTAATAATACATGTTTAATTATTGGTCGAATTTCTTTGCTTTTCATTCCAATATTTAAATAATTCAATTGACGAAATAAATCAACAATCAATTGAATATCTTCTAATGTACATTCATGACGAAGTTCGAAAGTTTTAATTCTATTTGTGTGTAATACATGTCGAAAAGTATCAGTTTCTCTAATTGCACTTGAATCAATATTATCAAGAGATAAAAAATCACTTTTAAATGTATGTAAATGTGGTGTCAAATATAATACATCAAGAAATTGATCAAATTTAATATGAAAATTTTTAATAATTAATTTGGTAAGTTGACGTAAGGGAACAATACTATTTAGTGTTTGTACTAATGAATCATCAAGTTTTTCAAGACAATGTTTAATTGTTAATTCCGTAGCATTTGGAAAATAATTGGCTGGATTCTTATTTGCTTTTGTACTACCCAGGTCAATCAATCCTAACTAACGGATTCCGGTGCGGATATCGCCGGAATCTGGCAAAACCCGACAAGAATAGACAGGATTCGGTCGGATTTTGCCGGATTCCGACGATATCCGACGTCGGAATCCGTTAGTTAGGATTCCGGCAAAATTTGTATCGGTTCCAGCCAGAATTATTTGCGACCGACAGGATCCGATCTGGCGTGATTGACCTGGGTACAAATAAATACGTGTTTAACTGAATTTAAATTTGTTTCTTGAGCAGATTGACAAATTTGTTTATGTAATTGCCAATAAAATGTAAAATCTTTTCGTCTAGAAAAAAAAAATCAAGTTAATGCTAATCCATTTCTACAGATTACCAGAACTTTGTCAATAAGTTTTTCACTAATCAGACTCTCGCCAGCTAGAAATGTGACATCTCTATATCACCTAATGGAGTTGTCTATATTGTTTCGCTCTTTTTAAATTAGTTGATATTACTAAAAATATCAATTTTTTATCTTACACATTAGTTTTATGACACCTCTATTTTAGGCTACATAAACAAAAATGCAATTACACAGCGGAATAAATAAATTTTTTCATGCAGTTCTCCTAAAAATCTTGGTTTGAATTCAAATATCCTATTACAATGCTTAAATATATTTAAGATTATGTGCAAAATATCAGATGTCCAAGTCTTGTTCTTTACTATATTCTGCCATTTCATTTATGCTAATTGCAATAACTTCCCATATAATACGAATATAATCGTATGAAAAATGGTATGTTTTATAAACATAGAAGAAATGATAGAATACAGCAAAGGGAAAGACTTGGAAGTCTAAAATGTTGCATATAATCCTAAATCTGTTTAAGCATTATAACAGAATACTTGAACTCAAACTGTGGCTTTTAGAAGAACTGAGTGAAAAAAGTTTTCTAGCTTCCCATGTATAAATACCATAGTGGTAGCAAAACTACCCAGGGTTAAGGATTCCAGCTCACTTGAAAACAGCTGCTTATGAAACATCTTTATAAAATGGAGCTGGTCGGTGAAATCCGTATTTATAGAAGCGAGCTAATCATAATTAGTTAAAGTCAGCTCTTCCAACTCAATAAACTGTGAGCTGTCATACATTTATCGTCAATGCACTCGTTGGACATTCCTCAATTGACAAAGTTTAGGTGGACTCTCGTTAACGCTTGTCTAGCTGTACACTAATTGGTCAATCTTTGCTAAAGATTTGCCAATATTAGCAAAAATCCACCGAGCTTTTATTGCTTTGAGAGTCATTTAAAATTGACTAAAGAGTTTTGTATTAACTGCACCTATATTGTTCTTTGAGAATTTGCGGAAATCTACTAAGATTCAATTAATAATGGTGAAAGTCTAGAAGACTCTTTCTAGAGACTTGCAGAGCATAACATTTTCGTAGCCTGGAATCTGTCCTGTGACTCTCATAATTTTGTCCTGATAGTGTAGGACATGTTAGTGATATCCTGTAGATCTTTAACTCTTGCCAACTCATTGATGAAATTCTTACTGACGAAGAGCAAAAATTTTTTTTTACCTATATGGTTCAGTTGAATAAAAAACTCCACTTTGTAACCGTTCAAGCCAATTATGTTGATGTGCAAAAAACCAATCTCGTCCAATCCAAAAGGATGATCTGAATTGATTAATTAAATCATGATAGGTTAATTGATTACGTTGTACACCACCATCATGATGTATATCAAAAATACGTAAATTCGGCATATAAGATGTTATTAAATGTTCCCATCGTTTTGCATCTAAATATGCTGTATCATATTGTGTTGAAATCCGTAAAAATTCAATATCACCAAAAAAATGTTTGTACAATTTGCTCGAATTTATTAAATGCAATTAAATAAAGTTTAAGTGAAACATATTTTAAATGTTTTAATAATGAAGTAGCATGTGTTTCACTATTTTCGACACGAGAAGCAGTAACGTAATTAATTGATAAATGATGAAGTTTTGGAAAGTGATATAATAAATTATTTAATGAATCATTTGGAAAAGGACCATTAATAATAAGAGTTTCAATTGGACTACAATGAAATCTACTAAAATAAACACCTGATAAATCCTGATCGATTCTGATTCGATATGTAATTTTGCCATATTTTAATTTTGGTAAACAAAATATATTAGAAAAAATATCATTTAAATTTTGTACATATTCAGCAAGATTAAGTACTAATGAATGTAAATTTGGTAAGAACATTAATTCATAGAAAATTTTCTTGAGATTTTCCATACTGATATTATCAAGAATTAATGTTTCAAGACAAACAAAATCTAAAATAATACGAGGTGGTGATAAGACAATATCAACAGCAAATGGATTTGATAAAGAAAATATATTAATTCGATGTTTATTTGGAATAACTATATTTCTATGATAATCTTGAAATTTTGATTTTGATACAGCTGGTGTATTTATTGTAATTGGAACACTTGAATAAAGAACTAAATATTGAAATCGTTGATTAAGAGAACAAAAACCATTATAAACATCATAATAATCAAGAAATTCAAATATTTCATATATCATTTCATTTGCCAAATGTTCAAGAATAGATCTAGATGAAATTAAAAAAAAATGAGAAGAATTATAAAATAAAGTAGAATTTTAAATGACTCACCTATTCGATTCAATATTTATATTTCCATTATAATTCAACATTGTGCCGTTTCTTGATTGCATTGTTTGTAACATGTCGAGAGAATAAAAAAAAAAACGTTATCGACAATTATATGACGACGAAAAAGAAAACATGTGTAGAATAACATTAGACGATCGTTTATATATATCGTATCAAAGTTACACCAGTTAACAATTTTAACGAAGTTATAATTTCCTCGGTGACATTCATCGAAGTTACAACTTTGGCAAAGAATTTGCTGATTATCCTAATTTAAGTGAACTTAAAATCTTCAATTTTAATGGTGAAATTGCTTCACGTTATTTTATAGGTAAATAACTTATACTAATCTGAATAAAGATTTATATAAAAAATTGTAGTATATAGATAGACTAGATAATATTATTTTTTTTTTTTTTTTTATTTAGTTGAATCACCATTTTGACATATTTTTCAACAACAAATTACAGATCTTATTCTTGTATTTGAAAATAATTTTAATGAAATATCATGTAAACATTATACAACAGATGTATATGGCTATGTTTTGAAATTCTTCGAAAATCTAAAGCATTTATCTATTATAGGATCATTTCTTAAGTCTTTTCCATCTTTAATACTTCGTTATTTACCTTTAACTACTTGATACTCTTCAACTATTTACAAATTATGTATTCATGTAATGTATTATGATGATATTCTTGATTTACTTGATGGTCGTCTCAATCAATTAAATACATTAAATGTTGTTATTATTAATGAGGAATATAATTCAACGAATGTTTACAAAATGGTAAGCTTTGACTTTATTCGATTAATCTTTTCAGTTTAACAAACAAAATACTATTGATCACGATAATAAATTGTTTTTATATTATTATTGATAGATTTTTTTTGTTAATTAATTACCCTTTATTTGAATGAACTATAACTAAATAATTGTAAAACAAATGTTCGTCTAGTTGAAAGAAAAAAAAATAAAATAATTGAGTTTCATTGAAACAAACAACAATGATATGTTTGAAGAGTAAGACTGAAAATATTTATTCTCATATAGTTAAAAGAAATATGTAGTTAGTTGTTTGACAAAATGACAAAAGATCAAATTTATTTTAATCTAACTTTTCCTTGAGTAGCTGAAAAAAATTCTTGCTTTTTGTTCTTATTTTTAGTCATTTTCGTTATTGTATAATAGAGGAAAAAACAAATAGGATGAGTATTGAAAGGAAAAAAAGGGCCAAAGACAATAAAAAAAATTAAAAATCATGTGAATAATAAATGATAAGAAACAAAGATTATTAAATATAGAAAAGTTTGATCGAAGCAACTTTCATTTGTTGTAAATTGATGAGTTGTTCGATGAAGATTTTAATGATTTATATATTGGAAATAGTCACGTTATATCAGATGATATAACTTGTTTCCTATATAAATAATATTTTTCTCATATATATATATATATATATATATAACAATAATGAATAATATTCATCTAAAATTTTCGAGTTATTTCAGTATTTATTATCTGCTGGATATTTAGAAATACAATATAATTATTTTAG